AAAATAAATCAAAATCGAAATATCAACGCATCTTCCTAAACTGCTGATGGTTTATGCACAAGGTCTACTGTGGGTTTTAAGAAAATAGTTTCAATTATTTTTGCTGCGCGTGGGGTTCACTAATATTTAACGTTTTGCGCTTACCTCTACCTTACAATTAAGAATTCCACATTAAACATTAGTAGGCATGTTTTGGTGCTAAGGCTTTGAAACCGTTAAACTGACTGATAAATATTCCTCATGCGAACCCTTTGATAGAAAAGTTCAGAGAAGTTTCTGATTGCCATCATAGTCATGCCGTGGAGTTTTTAATGATAAGAGGCCAACCCAAACATAATTAATGATACGTGAAAGTGTCACTCTACCTGGCAAAGGTGTTTCCACAGGACAAGCAATGTCTGGTTCTTTGTAATCTGAGAAAATATTTAATGTAGGTTACTCTTTATAAGCGCAGGTACCCAATGAAGACCAGACGGTTAATTTGCTGCTAGAAGAAAGTGTACAGCTAGCAAACTACTTAAAAAGGAATTTTTGCTGTCCTTCAGGCATTAAATCAATGTTCTACCATGTAGAGAAAAAGCGTTCTAGTAGGCTCTATTGAATTAATAATGTTAGTTGGGAGACAGTAATAAAATTCAATGTATGTAGGATATATGAGCGAAATGGTCATACTAACCGGTATTATCTACAGCCTTATAAGGTCGAACCTCCTACAGAATGATAAATCGTTCTACATGAAATATGACGTGACACTAATGCTAGCGTTCCATCAACAAACTTTAATGTAACAACCAATGCGGAATTTGTTTTTTAACAAACAGCACCACATGAAAGTAATGCTCACACTGGAATTTCATGAACAGGATTAAAAGTTAGAATTACCTTAAACTGCTTGAGACCACATCACTTTACTTACTCTTGAATTAGGCCATTCCACAAATATCCGGATATTTTTGGGGATATTTAGAAGTTTCCAAGATATTTAGAAATATTAAGATATTTAGAAAATTTGGGGATATTTAGAAATATTTGGAACTTTTCGGGGCTTAATTAACCCTGTGCATGCTGTGTTTTCTTCGCTATTTTCTTGAAACAATACTCAGCTCTATGATAAAAATATTAAGTTTAGCGATTTTCCACTTGAAAAATGTATTCTATCTCGACTAAAAGCGCTAAATCAGCTATTTCCCAAAACGGTGGATGGTGGTAACATCGAATTGCCAGAATCTTGCTCCCCAGCTCCAACTACTACAACACAGGGCTCCTGCACAAGAACAGTTTAAAAACTCTAGCCCAAGTAATTCAAAAGCAGTTTATTTTAAAAACAAAAATGCGACATATATATTTAGAGGGTTTTTCGAAATATTAAAAAAAGTTTTGCAGAATTACAGGAAAGATAATTAGGCGATTTTACGTAATATTTGTGGAAAGGCCTGACTTGAATTGTCTTAATGCTCAACGTAAAAGTCGTTAATCCAAAAAAGATTGAGCTTGCAATACTATACGATGTAAAACGTGAGGGTGCAAACATGTATCTCGCGCATAAAAAGCGATGTATCTCGTTCTTGTATCGCAGAAATTATTTGTTCCTTACTTGGGTTGACAAAAATACTTTAACATACCTTTCTTCCCTTCCTTTAACCAGTACCATATTTTGCCAGGATATATCATGTCCAAGAAAATCCAGGGAGCAGGGTTATAAGGCCACAAGTGACGCGAGACTATTGTTCCCCAGGGTATTTGCTCTATCAGTTTGTCATTGGTTGTCAGCAGAGCCAAATCGTCTAGCCTTGGCAACCAGGGCATTCGATCGCTTATGGCAAAAGGTCCGCTTTTCCAGTTGTCGAATTTCTTAAACATCGTGACTCCAGTTAAATTAGCAAATTTCCCAGTGAACGTGTAGTGATTCGGAGCCTGCCAAACTCCGCCCCACCTGCCTGGTTGATTTGCATCAAGGCGGTACAGAAAGGGACTGCTGTTTGTTGGGTCGTGCTTGATAACGTCAGCTTTTCCTAATATGGAAAAGTCTGCCCTGCCGATTTTCCTTGCAGTGGCGTACGCGTTACGCTGAAGTATTGTTCTGTCGTTCCATCCTTTGTTAGTGACAGCTTGCACCTGAATCGTTGTAGACAGAAAATAATTAAAGTTATAGTAACCTATAAAGAGTGATTTAGACAATAAAGTTCTGAGATTTATCGTTCATAAACCGTCCTTAACTTGGTATCTGCGTATCTGCTATAGTTAACTAATTAAGTATTATTTCAACCTTTCCTTCAATTTAAAAGATTTATTTTTTCAATAGTAATGTGTACTCCCTCGAACACAAATTGTGACCTTCAAACTGAAAATATTGCACAACACAAGTTTTGAAAACGGCTTAACTTCCGTAGAAAATGGTGAAGATACTGGGTACGTTCACGTTGCGACGTCATTGTTGCTTACGAGGAGGGACAGAATTGAAGTTATTTTGCCGTTTGCCAAGCTGCTTTATCAGTTGTTGTCGAGCGGTATTTGGAAAACACTACTCTGAAAAAAAAATAGTGCAGTTTTCAGGTCCCATAAAAGATCTAGATTGTAAGTTTATGTAAAATAATTCGAAAATAAGCAGAACCTGATCTCATTTGTCATACAGTACATGGAGGACTAAAATTATAGGATTAAATCTTCAAGGTGCTTTACAACGGCGTGTAATCTCTTGTTCAAATTTCTGATTTTACCAGTAGAGTCCAGCCGCCTCCAAACCTTCGTGATTGGTTACACACTGTTTTCACAGGTCTCTCACAGGGTCCATCAACAAATAACTTGTACACTCCATCAATTTCATAACCGTCCTCGAAATACTGCCTGCAGCTTACTGCAAAGCAAAACACAAAAAAACCGACAAACAACGAATACAACATACATTTCCAACTTGGAAACAATTTGGGCTTAGAACTCCGCATATAATATTTATAATTAGAAAAACACGCGGGTTTCTTTATAGTTTTCAGTTTGCGAGAACGCAAAAATTTGTGCAACTTATCCGAGAAACAGGCGAAAACAGCGATTTTAATGTAGAACAGTAATCGCCTATGCCTGGCATCAAGATGGCTTGTTTTTGATCAATCTACAACCTCAGTTTAGCCTCTCTTTAATAATTAGATTATGCGCTCGAGATTTCTATCGCGTGATAGTTGACGAGGGCGCATGCCGAGTCAACTGCCAACGTTGTGTTGTGTTTGTAACCATTGTGTTCTATTCGTATCAGAGGTTCCGGGTAGCAAGTGGGGAGTGTTCACATCTGACAATGTTTATTTCAGGGTCAGGTAGCAGCTCTCACAGGGTTTTACATTAATGGCTCGATACTCATCGATACTCGATACTCGATACTCGACACAACAGAACAAGCAACAGAAACAATGCCCCTATTCCCAAAACAACAACAGCTGTACCACTTTGATGACAAAAAGAATAGGCCATTTCCGAGTTGTCTGAAGCCTAGAGGCTACAGGTAATTCAGAAAATAGATTACAAATGGTATTACGAGCCTACGAAAATTGTTACACTTCGTCATTTCTACGATGGCTATAAACCAAAACTTACAGTAGCACTTTGTTTTGTAACATGTGGACATTTGAAGAGTTCTTCCCTGACAGTCTCCATCACGGATGCAAGAGCGAACACGATATCTCAATCCTCCTGATCCACAGTACTGACTACACGCTGACCAGCGAGACCACGGGCCGAAATCTCTCTCGTCACCCACTTTGCAAAAAGATCAAAATAAAAAAGATCCAATTTTCATCTTGAAGTCCTCTCTGAATCCTTGGGTAAATTGTTCTATCTTTTGAGATTGTTACGAAATCAAACACATTTTCTTTTAAACAGTTCCGCACCTTTGAAGGAGACGCAGAAGTGAGCTCGATATGGCCCTTACAAGATTTTGTAGTTCATTCAAAAGGAAGAAAATATATGCCTGTTTCCATGTTATTTCACATGTGCTTCAGAGCTTTACACTTTGATGAACACAAACGTTAGTAAATCAAGATAAAGTGTAAAGTTATTGTACATTTAATTAAGTTTGCCCTATTTTGAAGTGGATGTGTTTTAATTTTTCAATATGATCTTAGAATAATTAAATGCCAATGGATTTGTAATTGGTCACCAATATAATTGAAAGTGAAAACAACGAAAAAAGCACTTTCAAGTATGGGTTACTATTTGCAAAATTACAGAAACTTCTCGGAGTATTTAAGTCTAATTATTTTCCACGTAACATTGAAAAATAAAGACCATAAATTCTCTCTTTTTTAAAGGTTCAAACGCTAGAGCGTAAACATAATAAGCCAGCTTGTTTATCACGTTAAAATTGAGACTTAAAAACACATGCACTGGTCGACTAAACACAATGTTTAAATGGTTTACAAGTACAGCAGGTTGTACTATGGAATAGCTTCAGGTCAACGCTTATTTACAATGACAGCATGCTTGGATGAAAATAATAAAAATGGAAAAAAAATTGTGGGTGAAAGTCATAAATTCAACTGAAAGTATTGCTTCTCTATATTTTTACAAAGCTTTGTGTAATTTTGTGGCTACACAATAATATTTTTTTTCTACTTACCTGCTATTGCCAAAACAGAGATGATCCCAAACAATATGGCAGGTAAAGAAACCTGTGACATACCGCTGGTCCCACGGCAATTAGATTGAAATGTACTCCTGAAACACCATCTTCACCATTGAAAGCAATTTTTTTTAGAGCGTGAAGATAAAATACAGAATGTCCTTCAACGTTTCTTATTTACCCTAAACAAAGATTAAAACCAACTTGACCGGTGAATTAAAGCATTGTTATGAAAAAGTTCAATTTGAGAGTTTTTTTAATTTATGTTGTTATGACATCATTGTAAGTTGTGATTTTCAAGATCCACTTGTTGACTTTGAAAATTGACATTTGCTAAGTTCGTCACATTGACTGGTTTTTGAATGGGAAGTTCATCTGACGGCTGGTGACACCATTCTTTTGATTGGCATTTTTTGGTTGAGCGGTGTCTTTTGATGTGCTTGAATGAAAAGTCACTAGGGCCATTCGCCTCACCGCTCAAAGACAACGTTTCACAAAGAAAACTTAAGACTAAGTTGACGTGCGTGCTAAACATTGTGTCCACTAAATACGCCTCAAGCTACTGGATATGACGAAATCTTTATATCTTAGGCAAATTTTCAGATACATTTGTGTGTGTTCCAAGAAAAGCGAAAAGAATAACACTCCTTGAAGAACTTTTATCTCTCTTTAAAAGGATAGAATAGTCATATTTTCCCCGCGCTCCTCTCCCTTCCCGCACCAAAAAAAAAAGAAAAAGAATCAAACCTCGCCCAAATGGAATAAGTAACGTTTATAATTACGTTCGCCGACCAAATATAATTCCGTAATTCGCCGACTTTTGTACGTCGACGTTTTAGTATATTGGCGATTGATTTTGTCTAGTCACTTTCTACACTGAACGTTGTTCTTGAAATCGAGTACCAGGTTGCTGGTTATTAAGAGTGGAGGCAAACTTTATTAAATGTCTAGCGACCCTTCCCCTCCTGTGTGTTCTCGGATTCACTCTCAAGCAAAACAGAAGATTTTGTCTGCAGGGCATGTTAAACCTGAGCGCAACCCCCAAATGTCGCGGGGACAAAATTGAGCAGGGATGCGACCCTTGAGGAGAACTCTGTAAATCATTGGGTAGGGGTGGGTCATTGGGACACAGAAACCCTTACCATATAATAAGCTATATGGGTACTAGAGCTCAGATCTTATATTATAGAGCCATGATCAGCTTGATTTTGCAACAATTTTAACCCCTTTCTAGACTTGGCACCAAAAACCCCTACCATACACTATCGCAGACTCGCTGTTTTCCATGCAGAACTTTTATCACTGTCGTGGCTCACCATACGCTAACTAAACCAATATCTTACATAGTCACTTTCGAGTTTCAATTCTTATTATAGACCCCGGGGTAAAGAACCCTGTTGTAGACTAAATTATTTATACACTGGCCACTTTCCCGGTAAATTATACCCTGTCCTAGACCCGAACTGTCTGATTTTTATACCCTAGCCCCAGACTAAACTGCCTGAAAACGACAGTCTTCATAGCGGTACATACCCATATAGCTTATTATATGGGAGTACCTCCCCCCCTCCGCCGCCTGGAGGGTATGCGACGTCCCCTTGTGTACTCTGCAAAAGATTTTTCCGCTGCTATGTTGATGTGATGTTAATGAGACTTTAAAATTACCCCTCGTGTGTACGAACATTAAAGTAAAGCAACAATTTACAGCATCCTCCACATCAACAGGAAAATTTACTTACAACATTCCTTACACCTACGGTACAAATTGTTATCTGATGTGATTTTTATCCAATAATTGAAATTTTACAAAGTGTCCTGGCTGCTCGAAATAATCATATGGGCTAAAAACGTCAGGTAAGTCACTTGTTCAAAACAATTTTAAGCCCAGGTCAAACTTCGAACTTCGCATTAGACGAACTAAATTGCAGTTAAAGTAGTCAATCCAAACGTACGGGTAAAGCTCGACCGTTGAATCAAACGTCGAACTTAATTCGAATTTAGATCGACCAACTCAGTCGGATGAACTCAGTTGAGTCAAAGTCGAAGTTATCATGAACCTATCTCGCTCAGTTTAGTTCGTCTCATGTGAAATTCGACGTTTGTCCTGGGCCTTAGTGTATTAGCAATGTACGAAATCACATACATTTCAGAGCAAAATGTTTCAGGAGTCATTTGTTACAAGTAGAAAAAAAAGCAATACTGACCTGAAAAATATACCCTGATTCTAAATCTTTATCGAATCAGAGTATAAACCATACAGAAACAATGTGCCCTAAATAGTAAATAACAGTAAATAATGTAAATACACAGTGAATAATGTTTATAGACTACAAGCTCTGAAATTCACGCATTCTTATCACAAAGGCCTACTACCAAGCTTGTTTCATGATTTCTTTCAATACGCCAGTGAAGTACATGGATACTACA